CAGCCATGCCCATTGCAGTGAGACCCAAGCCCGCATGCACGCCACCACCGAGACTGCTACTACTACCGCCGCCGCCGCCGCCGCTGCCGCCAATGCCGCCAATGCCGCCGATGCTGCTGCTGCTGCCGCCACCACTGCCATTTATGCTACCACCGCTGCCTGCACTGCTATGACTGCTGCCAACTGAGGTGAGACAATGCAAGGTGGCAGCAGCATTGAGGGCAGCTGCACTGCTGCTGCTACTGCCGCCACCGCTGCCACTACCACTGCTGAGGCCACTACTGAGACCGCTGCTGAGACCGCTGCTGAGCCCACCACTGAGGCCGCCTCCAATGCCGACTCCACCTCCGCCACCCATCGAGCCAACGCTGCTAGCGGCGGCGGCTGCATGCGCGGCATGGGCAGCATGGGCGCTGCTGCCGCTGACGATGGCGTTGCTCTCATATTAGAAGCCACCGCCGGACGATGATGGTCATGCATAGTGCGGATAGGAGCTGAGGTGAGGCGCAACATGCGACGGCGTCACATGGCCCATCGAGTGTGGCTGATAGAGATTCGTGGCCGGGTTGCCCCAATTGCCCCATGAAGCGGCCGATGGGAATATTGAAGCTGGAAAGAAAACAAAATGAGAGAAAAAGGGGGAATGTTAGAATTGCATATCGTGCGAGAAAACTGAAAAAAATTGGCAAAAAGTAACACAAAACAATCTCTGAGTTGTAAGAAAGAAAAAAAGCGTGAACAAAAGCTGTCAAAAGAAAAGGAAAGTAAAAGAAAAGAATTGGCTANGATAGATAGTTGTATGGTAAATTCAGCTCCTACCAGCGAAAGGGCTTTAGGGTACTAGGAATAAATTGCAGTCAGCAACAGTGCCATCCTAAATAGACTAACAACTGATATAAAGCTTGAAACGACAGAGGCCGAGAATAGTATAAAGCCGGTTCAAAGATGGAATTCGGATTAGGTGCAGGGTTTCTAATTGAGCAACTCAATATGAAGTTATCATCACAATTAAGGAGGTAGTAAAGTATAATAAAGCATAAAGTATGGACGACCGCTGTGGCTGAATGGTTAGAGATGCGAATTACCACACCGTACGATCCCTGGTTCGAGCAACATCTAAATGGAACAAGTTTTTTCTATCAGCTGTCGATCCTCCTCGGCAGGCAATGGCAAACTTCTGAGTGCATTTCGACGTCTGAGTGGAAGATCGAGCCAACTCGGCTGCAATTAGTATCTTATATGTATAGAATTTATTTTAAATGCTCATGCAAATTTTTAATTTTCGATTTAGACCTACAATTTAAACACATAAATATGTATGGGTCATTCCATACAATATTTACACCTCAATATTTTTTTTGAGGTGAAAAATATTTTTTTACAATCTTTATCGAAAAAAAGAAGACACACATTTTTTTATTTCGTCATGATATTCGAAAATCTCGAAAAAAAATACCGAAATTTTGAACTCACGGAAAAGTATCTTTTTCATTTTTTGCAGTAAGTAAACTGTTTATCGGAGAAAATCAGTTAAGGTATAAAAATGTGCGTAATTACCTCGGCTTTCCATGAGAGTGTGAGATGGATTAAAATAAAAAAAAA